CTGATCAATGCAAGCCTGGAGTTAGGAGTCCCACAAGAAGCCCCCATCAGCTTGTCTCTACACCAGAGCTCTAAATGAGGGGCTCTGAAACAGAGATCCATGATAATACCGGGCTTCCCAGTGCCCCCTCCCATAAATCAGGTGCTCTCCTAAATAACAGTGGAATATTTGAGAACTACATCCTATTTGGAATGAGGGAGGCACTGGTCAATGCTGTCCACAAGGAATATGCAACTGGGATCACAAATGCTGTTCATAACTTCACTCGGCTTGATTTGGAACAAGGCTGCGGATATGGATTTCAACTCTGTCAGAGTACAGCCTGCCCCACAGCTTTTCAGGCATGATGGTTTAAATCTTTCTGCTCCTGTCCTGAACATGCTATCTGCATTGTATAGAATAATTACATATTCATATTCATAAATATATATATAAACAAGGACTTCAATGTCAATTGTGGTGATCCAGGAATTAAAAAAAACTTTGTAAAATTCAGATTTATTATCTGTCTCAAGTCCTTGAACGGAAGCTGAAAGTCAGGGATGAAGTTTTAAAACAGAGAAGCAGCTAGGCAAGCGGCATTTTCTGTCTCCGGCACAAAGCACACCTGAAGGAAAAAAGTTTACAGTTTGCAACAAAAAATTACAAAATTACAGTTTGCAAACATCTTTTTTTTAAAGACTTACATTTCAGTCTTAAGACTTATGTCTCCCAGGCAACATCAGGAAAGATTAAAATGCAGCGTGTTTTGATAGGTATTTTTATTAAAATGCTTTCAAAAAGCACCTCAAGGAAAAATAAAGATAAATAACAAAGTAATATATCTTTTTCCTGCCGCTTTCTTTGAATAATTTTGGGAAAACAATAGTATTTTTTATCTCATTCTCATATCAGCCAAACTGATGGAAGCTGCAAGATGGGGTCTTATACTGCAGTTGACTCATGTTACACAGAACATTATGACCTTACCTAGTTGTAGTTATTTTTCAGATATTTGAATACCGTACAACATGATACTGGGTTATAAGTACAGCAACATTATTCTTCACTATCTTTTGATTTGCAGATATTTTTCAGCTTTAAAATCATGACTTTCCATTTTTAGGGCCTTAGTCCTGCAAACTGTATGGAATCCTTTTTTACCACCTTTATTACCAAAATAAAAAAAAAATCCCACTGACATATTAATAAAATTGTGAGCAAAATTATGATCATATTAAAACTGATGATAATATCCCCATTGTCTTCAGCAAGTCAGTTTCTCAGCTTTTCTTGGTATAATATTGGAGAAGCATGGCCTCGGAAGACACCAAAAAGCAAAGGAAATCTGTACCATCTCTGATGGTCTCTATTGTATACGTCATCCACACATCAAAGAAGAACACACAGCTCTGCAATAATCATTGGAGAAAATCTGGCTACAAATCAAATAAATAGAGAATGGGTGAATAATCAGAATTCAAATAAAATCTGTATTTCCCTAAAAAATGACCAGAGATGTCAAGAGCCATCACGTTAGAATGAAAAGCTAAACTCCTTTTACCCCGTTCATTCTGGAACCCTCCGCTGCTGTGAGGGAATGTGGAATGTCAGTCTTGACTCACAACTGAGAGGGCCTCTGCAGGACAGAGTCCTTGGACAGTTTCTGGCAGCAGCCTGCAATGGGCTTTTTGGCTGAGGCTCCTGCACAGCTGCCCTGGATTCCCTCACTGGGGACTCCCCATCACTGCCTGGCTCAGCACACATGCTTGGGGTCATATAAATCCTGTGGGACCCTCCTAACCCCGGGTAGGGTTACTTTTGTTGCCAGGATTTTCAAACAGCAGCAGCTACTTTCACAACCTATCTCATGTGTTCTAATTTTCACTCTAGAGATCTAAAAGAGCAACCACTTCATGCAGCTGGTAAAAGATCATGTCTAAGGGCAGCCCTGCCCCCATCACTTCTTTATAACTCCCAGGTAAGCTTTCTCAATCCTAAGTAGTTTTATCTCAAATACTTCTGTGCAACCCAGTGTACTCTCAAGTCAATCTGTGTTTAGCCTGTGCATAATAAGAATATTCAACAAAAATGAGTCATTCAGATATTCAAAGCTGAATACAGGCCTACACAGAGACCTTACCCAAAGTAATTTTTGACACATTTTTATTATAGAATGAAACTTCTATGCAATTATTAAAAGAGATAATTATTTTTCAAAAATTACAACAGAAAATAATTGAGGTCAAAAAGACACATAACAGTTCCCTTCTCCCTGAATGAAATTTCAACAGATTCGTCAAGACATAAAAAAAAAAGAAGTGTGTACTGTTTTTTTCCAGGCTTCAGAGTCTTCATAAAAATATCCCTTTCAGGCCAGATGGAATAATGGTACAGGGAAGTATTATAAAAATATTAGTGAACATATCGGTTTAATCTACCATATATATACTCCTATTGTATCAGCTGTGGTTTTAAATATATTTACAGATTTCTCCCTAACAGCATTTATAATGATTACACATCTGGCTTAGGTTTCCCATGAATAGCTCACTTAAAGACCATGTTGCAGCTCACTGTTACTGTGCTTTTATTCCACAGCTGCTAATATCCTGGTTGTTTGATTTGTAGTAATCACTTTTACCTTTTTTTTGGTTTTATTTTTGATTTGTTTATTTTGTTTTTGTTTTCTAGTGAAGAGTTATAGATTGCCTGCAGGCTTGCTTTGTACCTCATTGGCATCAGTTAATTGATATCAAATGGCAAATATCATTATAAAACCAACCACATTAGGCAGTGGACTTAAAGTAGCAGATCATGGGTCCTTGTTCTCAGAATCCCCTCCTGCAATTTTACAAGCACGTTGTCATTTTGCAGGTTAGAAATGCTTGCTGTTCCTCTCTTAAGTACTGCTTTTAGAGTATCATTTACTAACCTTTCTGTTTATTTATAGAGGTTGATGCCAAGTTTCCGTCTGATAGCTTGGAGCTATGGATCATTAAAAAAAATCTTATCTTGTTCCAAAAATAACACAGATAATGTCTTGCATTTGCTGGTTAGTGTTTGCATATGGCATATATTGCCACATTTTGAGGAAATGGCTTGCAACAATAATGAGAAAAAGTGCCTATTGTGAAATTTCATAGGATTTTTCATTGAAAACTTAGTAATGCATCCATTAAGAAATTATTCTTGCTGCAGTTGTTCATTTGTAATTTTAAAATAAGTGTGCCCACTTTTAAGGTAGCCAAGTTTCTGTTTTACCATGTTAGTTTAGGGTAAGCCTTTTTATACTGGTATGAGAAAAGCCTCTCTAATAAAATTGTACCAGCAGGAGCATGTAAGAGCATTTTAAATGGCTGTGCGCAGTTTGGCAATCGGAATGTTTTCAGTAGCCTGTGGTGGTTGAAGGAAGACTCATCTGTCACATCAGGGTTTGCTTAATAACATTTACACTTAGAACTTGATTAAATAGAGTTTGGAGCTTCTGTGTCTATAAATACTTAAAGGGGAGAAGAGCACAGGACTAGAAGCCTGAAGTTACTCCCAGAGTCATGAAGTCACATCCTTTGCTGGGTTGGAACTGTGTGAGGTCACCTTTCTGGTATCTCTGGTCACATTTGTGCTTTCTCTCTGCTGCAATTCCCTACAAGCCACCCACAGCTATATAACGGCTCCAACTCTTGCCTATTTGCAAAAAGATTAAAACAACAACAAAAAACAAAACAAAACAAAAAACCCCCCCAAACCTAAACAAAAATAGGAACAAACTATTTGGTTCCCTAAAACCAGCAAACCAAAATAGTTTGCCTTTTGTGTACAGTTTCTGCTTTCTTCAGCTAATGTTGTGAATTATAATGACAGGCAGTTTCACACAACTTGGCTACCAATAAAGCAATTTACTACCTGCTCTTTTTCACTCAGCATTTCTACTCTAAGACAAATGGGGTTAGGTGCCAAAATAAAACAGCAACAGTTTCTTCTTAAGTGCATGTTTTTCCACTGTCACCTGCATGCAAGCCTCCTGTTTTCCCGAGCCCTTCATTGCAGACTGACAGCAGTAAAGCGTTTCAGCACACGTTCCCATGGTTGTGATCCCTGAAGTACGCTCTGTTTTCCAGCATTCTGTATTTTCCAAGGGCTGATCTTTTCCCCCGTACTGGGCACTCGTGAGGAGGACGCATCTCGAGCACTGGGCTCATTTCGGGAAGGACTTTCAGGAGCTGGAGCGAGTCCAGAGAAGTACAACGGAGCTGGGGAAGGGTCCGGAGCACAAGTCCCGTGAGGCGCAGCTGAGGGAGCGAAGGAGGCTCGGGTGTGCCCTCATCGCTCTCTACAGCTCCCTGAGAGGAGGCTGCAGCCGGGGGGTCTGGATTTTCTGACGGGTTACAGACAGTACAGTAAGAGGAAGTGGCCTCGAACCGTGCCAGGGAAGGTTTAGGTTGGACATCAGGAGGAATTTCTTCAGTGGAGGAGTGATTAAACACTGGAATGGATTGCCCGTACCCAGGGAGGTGCTGGAGTCACCCTCTTAAGGTGACTTAAGGATAGACTGGATGTGGCACTCAGTGGCAGAGCCAGGTTTACACGGTGTTCAACGTGGTGGACTCAATGATCTTAGAGGCCTTTTCCAGTCTGAATGTTTCCTTGACGCTTTCTGTAATCGGAGGAAAATCTACTGGCCGCAGCAAGAACAAACAAACACGCTTTCAAACCCAGCCGTCCCTCTCTGCCCTAAGGGCAGACTCGTACAAAGCCTTCTTAACACGGAGCCGCCCTGAGCCACACGTGGTTTTCACACCAATTCCCTAATCAAGCCCAGAGTAACCAGAAGTGGCCCGGGTCCTGAGGCAGTCGGTGCCCTGAAGTGCCCATGGCAACAGCGGTGCCCGAGAGCCCCGACAGCGGGGCGCGCAGGCGAGCACACATGGCGTCGGGGTGGGTCTCGAACCCGCGGCTACAGCGCACCCGGCAGTCACTGCGCCGCTGCGTCACAGCGCCTCTTCCCGCCCCTCGTGCCCGGCGCTGCGGCGGCGTCAGCTGACCGCGGGTCACGTGACCCACCGGCGGGTGAGCGGCGGCGGCGGCGGCGCCGGGGATGGAGCAGTGACGGTAACGGCGGGCCCGGGCCCGGGAGCAGACGGGGGAGGGAAGGAAGGAAAGACAGAAGGACGGACGAGTGTCTGGGCTACCCCGAGTGGCTACCGCAGCGCTCCGGCCTTCCCCGGCGCGCTGCCTCCCCCGGCGCTGGGCCGCGCAGGGCCTGGCATGAAGGGCAGCGCCGGCCGGGCCCGGCGGTACCGCGGCTCCCAGGAGCTCCGCCGGGCCTCGGAGCGGCCAGGCCATCGCCCTGCCGCTGCGGGGGGTGTTTACATCGGGGAGCGCGAAGGGACAGCGCGGCCCGGGGAGCCCGAGCCGGCGGCTGCCGGGCTGTGGGAGCGGACATTCAATCCCTGTGATCCGGGTCAGCGGCTCTGTGGGGAGCGAGGGCAGCGCCCCCCGCTCCCGGGGCCAGCCCCAGGTCGACTCCGCATAAGCGTGGGGACTTGCCCACGGCGCAGTCTTTCCGGTCTCCTCGTCGAGTCCGCTTCTGTTTATGAAACGTGGAGGCCAAGCGCCAGAAGTGATTTCTGAAAGCGGGCTTGAAGAAGTGACTCCCTGAGGACTTAGTGCTAAGTCGCATCAGTAAATTGAGGTTTCCTGCTGAGCTAAATAGAAGCAATTGTCCCCTGCCCCTTGCCCTGCATTTTTGAAAAATGCAATGCCGTAGTTGAGATTCTGTTTTGACATCACTGTATATTTTTCTGGGTGTAACACTGAAAACAGTTTATTTTAGATTGTAATATATTGCATGAAAATGTTTTCTTTGGAAACCCATTTTCCTAATAACATAGGGATGAAGCAGTGTGCATTACAAAAAAGTCCTGGTCATAGAGGTATATGATGTGAACAAGCTACCCATTCTTACTGCTTATTCTAGGTTTTATTTTGAACACTTGGAATTTCCTGCTTTATCCTGTGGTTCTTATCTTTAATTTTCTTTGCTTTCATTTTACAGTCCATCTGTATGTATTTTTTGTCTGACCAGTATTTGTATCTGTTTTTCAAACCATTCTGTAGCACTTCTCCTTTCTTCACTTCTTGTTTGGTATTCTCCATTGCTCTGATTTCAAGCCCTGTTGTGGAAAACACTTAAAACTCTTTTACCAAGCTTTTTGTTCCCTTGTGTGTATTTGATAATAATACCTTACACCTGAAATGGGAAATCATCTTCCTTCCCATGACTATTAGAAATGGAACAGAGTTTCAGTAAAACCAGCCACACAGACAAAAAATGGTGAGGGAGGAAGGGAAGTTCAGTGACTTAATGGTTCCTGGGAGCTACAATTGTTCCCTCTGTGCCACTTCTGGAAACTTTAAAAATATTCTTTAGATTACTGATGTTTGTGGAAAATGTGAGAATGCAATGTTTCCTGTATCTTACTGAGTAGGATTCTGGATTTCTGTGTTATTTCTCTTCTGTCTTTTACTTGGATATTTGCAAGTTGCTGCTGCCACCACCTAGTTTGTTTATATAACATTTATTCCACAGCTTTTTTCTAGTCCTAGTCTAGTCAAATCCAGAAAAAAACAATTCGAAGCTTCAACATTTTGTGAGTGTGTGTCAGCTGCAATTGTGTCTCCCTTAGTAGGTGAAGTTTACTGTAAACTTGGCTGTGCCTTTTATAGGGTCAGAGTTCAGTGGAGAGCAGGAAAACTTCTCCTGCACCAGGTCTGGCATGCATTAAGGAAGACAATGCATCCTAGTAGTCTGAATAAGAGGAAATTTTGTTTTGTTCCAAATCATTGATAATTAGTATACTTCCAGTGGAGACCTGTTATCTGAGATACTGCAGTTGGTGCTAAACAAAGAAGCCCTGTAGCGTGGTGATAACTGATGTTGTGTGTCAGTTCTTGTAAATATTCTGATTTCTCAGTTACCTGTACCTGCCTTGGCATTGTCTGTGTTCGGTTTTGTGGCACCACTGTGCTGTGCCTGGTGGTGCAGTGCCAGGTGGCACGGAGTGTTTGCTATCAAGGGCCTCAGGAACTGGGTGTCATCATCTCCTGCTGGAAACAAGGCCCCTTAATTCTAAGGTGGGTGGCTGCTATGCCAGGCTGTGCTCCATGGTAGTAATTTGATGGCTGATAAACTTCAGCTTTAGGCTTCCTGAGTAGCTGAGCAAAAGAATCAGCAACTAGGCCTTTATCTTACCTAGAATTTCAACATCCTTAATAACTTGCTACCCCTAGAATGAATACACGATGAAGGACCTATGTGTGTTGCTTTGGGCAAAGTTCGCTACCACATGCTAGTTCTAACAAATAGAACATTTGATTAGTTCTCCCTCAAAAAAATTGAGTGCTATGAAATGTAGGTTAGTCTCTACTCATTCCAAGTTGCTACAGAAAACATTACAGATATCAAAATTTGACATATAGATTCTGTCAAAGTAGACTTTGTTTTTGTTCTTCTTTCCCTTATCAAAGACATTCAGTAACTCTCAATCAGCTGTTTCTGCTTCTTAGTGACAAAAGAACATATATACTCTTAACTTGCTGAGCTTGTCTGCAAAGTAAACCAACATAATTTGTATTTAGTACCAACACTTTCTTGACTAATGCCAGTATGTGTAATCTTATTGGTGGTCTGCAGACAGAGATATCAAGACTACAAAGTGTTCTCCTTTTTCTTGAAATTTTTAGCTGCCAGGAGAAGCTTCTTTACTTGAAAGAATAAACTAGATCTTACTGCATTTAGATAATTTTAGGCATTTACTTACTTTAAAACACTGTCCTAATCTGAAAAGTGATTGGAAAAGATATGTCAGAGTTGAAATTTGTTTGTTTTTTCTTATTTCTTCTCTGATGTTTTCAGAAAAAGTTATCTGTTGTACAGACACTGGAAGACGTATATAGCTGTGGAAATATAGTTTGGGTGCTCTCTTATTTATTTTCAGTTAGATTGTTTCCTTGTTACCTTTCTGTGAAATTAGAGTTGAAAGGTGCTAATGTTGCAAACTCAGCCCCCTTTAAGATGCAGGACAGGCAGTTTAAAAAGATTTTCGAACTGTATAAATGTGATTTGGAAGATAGGAAAAAATTAATTTGAAACCACGTGATACTCCTGGTAAAATCTCTTACAGTGACTGGAACTGCACTTCAGTAATATGGAATGAGATGTTTTTCTTCAGGCAAAGCTTTGACTGCTGTATTAATGGCAGATATTTTTTTCTTCTTTCCCTTACTTCCCTTCTGCTAGCATCTTGCCTTTTTCCTCAGAATCAGCAAACATCAAGATAAAGGCACAAAAATGACAGAGTTTTGGCTGATTTCTGCTCCTGGGGAAAAAACCTGTCAACAGACATGGGAGAAGCTACATGCAGCAACTACAAAACATAACAATCTTTCTACTAATTCAAAGTTCAATATTCCGGACTTGAAGGTATGTAAACCCCATGTCGTGTCCTAAGAAGTGCGTTCGTTTTGCATCATCTTTTTTTCTCTAGATTAAAACTTGCAGACATTTTAGAGAGAACTGCTGACTTTTCTTGATGTTTATGTGTGGAGCTAAGAAATAATTCAGACATTATATGATATTCAGACAGTTATCTTTTCTTCTGAACTTCTGAGTTAGTTGTTCACTCTGTAAGTTTTCAAGATTCAGCAATCTGTGTTTTTCCAGCAAATAAAGCAGTTTTTTCTGAGGATGGTAGTCTTGATCTCATAGAGGTAGCAGTTAATTGGAAAAGAAAAGTAGGAACTTGTGGTCTGATTATTGATAGTTTCCTTTGACTGTTTTGTTTTACCTTTTAAAAAAATTATTTAATTTTTTTTTCCGCATCTGATTTGTCTGCTCCTTTTCTGTCTGAGATACAGTGAAAAGGCTGAAATTAAAGTACAGGAGTTGATCAAACAGCAGCACTGCCTTTTCTCCATCCAGAAGTAACATTCTTCTATTAGAGCAGTGGTTTATCTCTGGCTGAGCATTCCAGTGTGACCTGCCAATGTGTTGTGGAAAATGGAAAAAAGCCTGTTTGAATTCTTCAGTGAGAAGCAAATAGTAACAAAATCTGAAAGTAGTTAATCTTGGTTTAATACAATGATCAGAATATGGAAAAGTTATGAGCCAGTGTATTCATTTAGAAAAGGTCTTTCCTGATGCCTGAATGTTTCTTGAACAAGAATTTGGAGCTCAGTTTAATGTAGTGACAGCTCATCAAAGCTTACAAAATTGAGGAGAAAAATGCCTTCGGTCTTTGTCTACAGAGTGGATCTAGATCAGGGGGCATAATGCCTTTTTCCTGTCTCTGCTAAGGAATGGGCCCAGAGCACAGAGTGCTTTGGTGTGCCTTTTAAGATCTTCCAACTGCCATAACCAGTATTCACATTTGGACTGTCCTGTGTTAGAATAGGGACTAGAAAAAATGTCATTCTCCTCCCAGGAGATTTTTGGACATGAGTCAGGATGGTTTTCAAACTGTAGGATATCTGCAGCATTTAGAAGACTTATTGCTGAAAACTATTGGGGCCCATCAGGGTTAGAAACAATTGGTTTTGCTTCTACTCTGCTTCCTAAATGGGGCAGAAGCTGAATATACCTTATGTATGGTGGGAAATAGTCTGGCTTCTGTGGACCTGGTGAAACTGTTTAAGCAGTGAGATTGTTTAGTTAAAACACATTGAAACAGTGGTTTAGTCTCCGCTGAACAGCAGTTTTATTGCTTAAGGACTTGCTTGTCCTGAGGCTTGTGACTAGTTAAAATAGGCTTCCTTATTCTTCTTGTGGCCCACAAGAAGGTGGGGCATGGAAAGTCATGTTCCTTAAGTAATTCTGCTCCTTTCTGCTTCAAGGCTAAACAGAAAAGAACTAATGTGAATTTGAGTGGTCAGATATATAGAAAGTAGATGCTAGGCTACAAATACATTAAATGCTAATAGCATCTTGGCTAGGCAGAAGATTCATTTATGCCGTGTAATATTTCAGGTAGAAATGGGTACTCCAGATACATGAAATTAGGGAAGAAAGGGTTTTCTGGAAGAGAAGGGAAAAAAGAGTGAAAGCTTGTAGACAAACTAGATATTTTATTATCCAAGATGCAAAAAGTCCAGTACTCTCGTATTAAAGTTTTCAACGTCCAGGTTGCCTCCAGTGCTGAGATTCCTGATCAGTGAAATTTCACATTTGATCTAAAGTAGTGAATTAAATGCTGAAGCAACTGCCTTGTGAAAAATACAGCATTCATAGTGTAGACATTGTTTTAACATGTTCTGGATGTCTTGATTGCAGAACTGAAACTGAGCACCAAACTAGTGAGTTAGATCTGATCCTGTGGTGCTTTGAGGGGCAATATCTAACAAATGAAACACAGTGTGACTTTGGTAAATCAAGATGTCTGAAATCTTAGAGTCCAGCATTTTATGTAGTTCTGCAGACCTGTTGGGAGATGTAGCTTTTACTGTTAGCTGGTTTTATCTTTCTGTGTTTATATACATCTGCTAATGCATCTTGATCTTTGCTTCTAGGTTGGCACACTGGATGTTTTGGTTGGTTTGTCAGATGAGCTGGCTAAACTGGATGCATTTGTGGAGAGGTAACAGTTTATTTTTACTGGGATGCAAAGTATTAGAATAATGATGTGATAGTTTGCTGAGTCCTAATAATACACAGGTTATTTTCAACATTTTTTGTATCACAGTGATTTGGAAGATAGGAAAAAATGATCCTCTGCAGGCAGTCAACATGCTAAGATTTAAGAAAGCTGAGATGCTGGTTTTCACAGTATCTGTTCCTGAAAAAAGAAAAATAATTCGAAATTCTTACTATGCATTGATGAAGGATGGTTCTCCCTAAAGTAGTGCTTGTGTGGTGCTGGGTCCTGGAGAATTGTTAAGAATTGAGCCTGACAGGTACAGGAAGTAGTGATGAAATGAAGTAAAAGCTTATTCTTTTAGCAGGAATGCTGTTTACACACTTTGAGAGGGTAATAATGTGATTTTCTAATCTATATAAGTGCTTAAACAGTATTATTATTAAAATGCAAAACCTATAAAATTTGAAGAAACTAACAGCCTTTTGAAAGTGTTTTTGAGCAAAAGTAGCAAAATTTCACATAACCAGAACTCATGGAGCCATCTCCAGTTTCAAGGAGAGAAGTATTAACTAGAAGTTTTTAAATAGAAAAGGCAGCTTTTTACCTGGCACATGTGAGTAGTATTATACATGGCTTTTCATTTAGGAAGGCAGATCTTGAGTGTCAGATTGCATTGCCAGGGTTGCCTTGTTTAGTTTGGATTACTGTTAACTTCTACATTTCTATTTCTAAAAACGGGTTAGAATTTTGGAAGTACCACAGGCTTTTAAAAAAAATTTGCAATATAGTGACATTACACTTGAAGTCAATACCAATGTGAGTGAGCTGGCCTCACCCTGTTGCGAACTGGTGAGTAGCAACAGTAGAGAAGATTTTAAATAAAGTTGTGGAATACTTCTGAGAAGTTGGTCTCCTTCAGATACTGACCCCAGCTTGTGCTTCTGGAAAGCCTGACTGTAGAGCAAGTATCATCCTTGTTTGATCCAGTCACTTTTGATCCAATCTCAGGCAAAATAAAATCAGTTTCATGAATGGTATTCCCCAAATGGTGGGTTTGGGGTTTTGATTGATTTATTTGTTTGTTTGTTTGCTTTTATATATCTTGATCTTTCATTTTTCAGTGTTGTAAAGAAGGTGGCTCAGTATATGGCTGATGTTTTAGAAGACAGTAAAGATAAAGTTCAGGAGAATCTTCTGGCTAATGGAGGTAAAGTGTTAACCATGATATCCTAATGTATCCTAAAACTAGAAAGGAAGGCAATGATCCTGAAACTTACTGAGGTACAAGGAAGAAAAGTGCAAGGGGCTGCACCTGGGTCAGGGCAACCTTCAGTGTCAATATGGGTGGGGGATGAATGGATTGAGGGCAGCCCTGCTGAGAAGCACTTGAGGGTGCCAGCGTGCCTTTTATTTCAATAACAAGCTTCACTTTTCTCTGAACCAGTATTTTATTTTCAAAGCCATTTAATAGAATTTAACAACTTGTATTGATGCAAGAGAGGCTAATATAAGTGGATAAGGGCTTGGAGTAGTGTCTTTCATAAAAAGCTTTACAAAACTGTCACTTCAGGTGAACCACATGGTCATTGCTGTCTTTCTTGCCATCATAACCTTCCCTTCTCCCACCTATTTTTCACACAGAGCAAAAAATAGTTGCTCCTGTCTGTAGTTCTCCAACCATCCTTGACTTGGTAGTAAATGTTATTTACGATCTGTAGAGGTGGAGAAGCCAATATCTGAAGGCAGAGGTCATGGCTAATTTACAACTTGTTTCTTTTCAGATTTCTTAAGCAACAGGGTCCAGACATGGGAAGGTCCAGCCTGTTACAGTTCTCTTCTGTTACAGCACTTCTACGTAGAATATAACGCAGTAGTCTTTTTATTGTCAATCTTAACAAAATTCTTTAAAATTTTAGTTGACTTGGTCACCTATATAACAAGGTTCCAATGGGATATGGCCAAATACCCAATCAAGCAATCCTTGAAGAATATTTCAGAAATTATTGCAAAGGTAAGGTAACTTGTTTTATAAAACTTCCCTACTTGAACTTGAGATATTTATGCAGAAAACTTGCTCTCAAATTTGTCTGTTTTAGTCAGCTAACAATAGCAGTGAACTTTGTAGCAGTTAGTAACCAAAGAAATACATTAGGATGTGGCTGGGATTTGGAGAATGCTCCCTGAAGACCATCATGCTGTCTTTGCTGATTTTTGTTTCCTAGGATCTAACAAATAAATAGCCAGGAAATGATGTTTACATTTCAGTTTTGCTGCACTAGCATATTGTTTGTCTGATGTTCTCAAACCATGTAGGCTGTTAGCAGTGAGCCAGGGAGCTTATTTGCATTCTGAAAGCCACGGCAGTCAGTTATGAGGGGAGAAATAAGCCTTCATTGTTAGATGTAAAGAAAGCTCATTTGAGAGTTGTCATGTGTTTTCCTCATCTTTACTTTGGCAATGTGTTTCATACGTGCAGGGTTTTGTTTGCATTGTACTTACTTGTGAGCCTGTACAAGGTCCTCAGCAGTGGCTGGCTGATTTAGACAGTGAGAGTTCTCTGTAGGCAGCCCTTGCTTTATGATCTTCCCAGCTGCTTCATTTTTTTTGGTTTTTTTCCTTCCCTGTTTTCTGCAATCTGCAGACTGGCACTTGGATCTGCCTCTGTTACTGACTGGAAATACATAACTTGGAAAAAAGAAGCTGTTCTGGGTACCTATAGAGGTACCTTTGGTAGTCTTTGGTGATGGATGTGTAGGGACTATAATGGGTTTGGGATGTGGGTAAGTGCTGGCAGACTTGTGCTTTGCTGTAACTGCAGATTCCCGAAACTATTACATTAATGTTTTTTCAGAGAACAAAATCTTAATATATGCTACAAAGCTGACTGAGACTGTAATTAGTACTTTCATTTTTGATATTTTCTTTGGGACTATCACTGTATCTTGAATTTATTTCACGAATTGCATTTAGTAACTATTCCTGGAAAACATCTGTGGTGTGGCCTTTTGTTAAAGATGACTGGCTATCTTACAGTTCTAAAGAATTGCACATTAAAAATATCTCACAGATAATAAAATTAGAATCTTAATATCTGACACTAGTACATAATATTTGCTTCTTCAGAAGAAGATACCAAAATGAAGCACTGAACTTTTTAGCTTTAATAGTACAGCACTTGTTTTTGCAGAAATTAAATTTGTTGAAAAAGAAACAAAGTACATGATGAGATATGCCCTTTGTTGAAAATTATCAAAGATTAAGTGCATGTTATTCTGTGTCCTGAAGTTTGCTAGATAAATAATCTGCTTCAATAAAGTTGTACTCTAGCCTGAACTTTAACTGTCTTACATTCTTTATCTACTTTGGGCACATCATTGACCTATTAGGTTGGATAATATATGCTGAGAAACAGGTCTGCTGGAGTTCATCCTGTTGAGGGTTGCCATTTCTCTTCGTGTTTAGCTGTGCTTCTATTCTACAGGTACAGCTTCAGGACACATAATGTCATAAATCTGATTTCAAATAGTTCATAAAATATTTTCAACTGTGAGCCATAGATGTGTGTCCATAAAGTAGAGAAGATGACTGAAGATACCTTACATTCTTACAGAAATGACCCCTAGGAAATCATATCACAGGACTTGAAGCAGTTTTGTCCCAAGGCAGGAATTCTGACAAAGATAAAATCTTCATGTAATCATGTGCCAAAGTGAAGATACAGGAAAATTGATAGAGCTACATTAATTAAAATCTGTGAAGCCTTCTGACATGTTGATGTTAAATAATTTGAAAAGCTTGTCATATCATGAATTACTGCTTTTCCTGTATGGTTTTATATCATCCTCACTCACTCAGACAGCAGGTTCTGATGTCTGTCAAGATGAGTAATGGCAATTGCAGTGGAGGCTTTGTCAGCTGAGAAGAAATTACAGCAGTGTTAGAAACATTTAAAATAAAATGATATCTTTTGAAACTATCCATCAAGTTTTTTCAGCTTTTAACTTTCAGAAGTTTTGTGAACCCCAGTGGCAATACCGAATACTTTGGAGATGGCATCTGCGCTATGTGAGAGCTGTCACTTAATCGAGTCATTCTTTGAATTTGAAATTAGTCATCAGACTTATGCAAGAAGACCTCAATATTTTTAGTGCTCTAGTTGAATCTTTTCAGCAACCCAGGCATGTATTGAAGTGCAACAACTCAGTTGTATGGCTGCAAGACTCTCAGTATTGCCAATGACTACACTACCTAAGTGGTTTAAATATCTGTGTAGAATTAGGCTCACTATGTTATACTGGCACTTTCTTTAGCAATACCATTAGTCTGCCTCTTTTTGCAATGACCTTTGTGAGTTATTCACCAATTCTATTCCCAAAAGGAAGTTTGTATTGTTGCTTCATTTGGTAATTTTACAAAAATTTATTTTCAAGGGCTCTGTTGTGGCATTGAGATTTGTGGTTCTGTATTCTCTAACATTCAGTAGGAAGCAAAGCTGGTTGTTTCAATAAACTTAAGTCAGTACAGCAGTAACGGGTTTTTGGCTAAGCAGTCATCTTTTAAAAGACTACTGACTCTGCAAATGAGAGCAATTAGAGTATTGTCAATTAGGAAATGCTGAATGGAACTGATTTGTAAAGGCAGTGGTTTTTGGGTTTTGTCATTAAGTAATGCATAGTTAAACTTGTTGAAAGTCCTGATCCTTGGAAAAGGCAAAGAGTTGTCACTCTGGGGAAGAGCTGAATGCACAAAGGTGCTAGCTTAATAACTTCTGATTCATTTTCACCTTCCGATGCCTTCTAGATGCAAAAAAAAAAAAAAAAGGTGCTGGTGTAGTATTAAAGGGTTTGCATGAAGGTATATGCCTTGTGTGACACCTGCTGAAATGTTCTGCATGTTACTTTGCTAAAGGTTGTATCAGTCAAAGGATTTAAATAGCCTTAAGTACTCACCTTTTTAATATTGTCATTTTCAGAGTATTTTGTCTAAAGGATTCCTGAATCTGTAGAGGTGCAAGCTGTTAATGTGTTGCCACATGAAACTAACAGAATCTTCAGGCTTTTGATTACTTCCTGCTACAGACAAGCCAACTTAGGTGTTACCATAAACAAGGTCACTATTTAATTAACTGACCTTGCTTTTAAGAGAGATTTATTTTGTGGAAACAAAATCATATCTGGATCTCCAGCCTGTAGTGTTTTATGCAAACAAAATGTTTTGTCTGTTGGCCTAAGCCTGTATAAAGGGAGAGTCCCTTGACAGTGTTCAGAAATGTGTCCCTGGAAATTTTTTCATGCTTGTACCTCCATACTACAGTGAGGAGGCAGTGAAGGAGGCAGTAGGCAGCATTATAATGCCAGACCAACACTGTGCCAAGTTCTTCCAGTTTCCCAACTGTTACTGAGTGCACTGATTTTAAAACATTTCCTTGTATAGGGTACATGCTGATACGAGTATGGTTGGCAGTTTAAGATGTACTAAAGTGTTTTGTTTTGTGTTCTTCTACTTACTGCCAAGTTATCTAGCTGGGAATGAATCATTTTTGGTAATCATGCTAATTAAGCCATCCTTTTCAAATCCATCCTTCAGGATTATTGAGCAGCAGTGGCAAGCTGAACATAAATTCTATTCTAGTTCTTTAGACATAGTTCCTTTTCTTTTCATTTTTAAGGGAGTAAACCAGATTGACAATGATCTAAAAGCAAGAGCCTCGGCATACAATAATCTGAAAGGGAATCTTCAGAATTTGGAAAGAAAGAATGCGTAAGTTGTATTATTTTTTGCTAATGTAGCACAGGAATGTTATCTAAGCATGAAAACTTAATAAATAATGAAATGTGGAGTGATTCAGGCTCTAGGCTTAATGTATTTTTGAGGTTTTTATCCATCTAGAAGAGCAGCTGTCATAAAGGAACATTTATTACGAGCTCTCTGGTTGGTGTTAACTTACTTGTGACTGAAAAGCTATTAAGAAATCACAAAAGCATGTACAAATAGCATAAAATTGCTGGAACTTTTAAGAGGAGCTTGCTGTTTGTGGTGTGTAACTCTGCTACTTAGGTGTCTTGTCTAAGTAAGAAAGTCTTTCCTTCACTCCAACTTAATTTCTGGGTTTCTTCCCTCAGAATTTACTAGCAGCGACAGCAGCAGTACATGCAGATAATAAATTAAACAAGGACTGTGTGTTGTCATGTACATGTGACAATTATTTGAAGTACGGTTGAGGTTCAGCAGTTCTTCTGTGCAAATGTGGTTGATTAATGTGCCTGAACCCTGCCATTACAGTGAATGGCACAAGCCTGCTGGCTGATTCAGAACCACGGGTCATACCAATGACAGTGTGTGACAAGCTGTTTTAGGAGTGAGACATAAGTTCTGTGCTAAGCCATGGCAGTTTGTCAGCTGAGAGCCATTAAACCTCTGTGCGTTCTTGGTCTTTTATGCATATGAGGAAATACACTGCTTTAAGTTTTTACTGATGTTCTGTATGTAGATCTGTACTAGGTTAGTTATAACTCTGGGGCTTGGTATATTAGAATCCACAGGTAATGGTTTTAATGGTTCCTGCAGTTTTAAGTAACTTCTAAAAAGAAAAGTTGGCCAGTTAAGCGTGTGATGTATTTGGAACATGGAAATGACACACAGCAGTGGAGCTACTGATACAAATTTCAGTGACTTTGGACAGTGAGATATAAAATGCGTATAAGAACATTTTGTTTGCTCTGCTAATAACAATTGTGTAGGTAAAATGTATTTATGAGAATGCTATATTATTAAGCACTGGAAACTGTTATCCAGACAAATTAAATTCTTAAACATGTAATTGTTCTGGCTGTCTTTGTTTCTCTGCAGGGGAAGCTTGCTAACCAGAAGTCTTGCTGATATTGTAAAGAAAGAGGACTTTGTACTTGATTCAGAATATTTGGTCACATTATTAGTGATTGTGCCGAAGTAAGTTTATTCATCCTGAGCAGAATACAATAAGAAATATAAATCAAGTAATAGATCTCACAGCCCTATAATACTGTAAGAGTGACATCTGAATTTACTTGGGCCTTTCCTGGATGAGCAAACAGGACTGTTAAGATGCTCAGGAGAGATAAGTGAGCGTCTGTGCCTGCGTTCTTTTTTTCACAAAAACTCCTCATAAGGACTGCTGAGTGCTCATGCATTTCTTGAGGAAACTGGAGATTAGACGTATGTCTCTTATCCAGTGTTTGCCATGAGTAGTCATGTTCCAGATGGTGTCCTTATGAAAATAAGTGTTGAGTAAAAACATGACTTGTTTTACATTAGAAGGCTTAGTCATTAAATTATCCTGGTTAGGAGTACGCCAACTTTCATCACGTAGCGAGTGAACTCTTTACTGCTTTGTTCTGCACATTTTTTAGATTGCCTGAACCCTTTTTTGGTGTTTTTTTTTTACTTACCTAAGTCTCTGTTATTGGAACCCTGCTTACATCTTGTCAAAGGCTTGCTGGGGGAACAGGCTGTTCTTACTTGAAATGTTTGAACAACAGAAATCTCATGTTTTCCCCTGGCCAAGGAAAGTAGTGATACAAATGCCCACAAAACTGTTGTAAAATGAGAATATGTCCCTTGACTGTCTTTCTGGAGCACAGGTAAAGAGATCTTCTGATTTTATGAAAAGCCCACTGGTTCTCTTTACCACAGGAACCATTAGAATCTGTCACATGTCAAACTCTGGTGAAGAAAAAACAGTTTTGCTGTGTCTTTAGCAGAAAGCAAGGGGTTAGAATATCTCAGCTGTTGTTTTTCTTGGCTTGCTTTTGCTGTTGAAAGGATGGAACCTGTTCACAACCAACTACAGAAAGGCAGGGCTTCCAAAATTCCCAGTCCTTCAGGCAAGTGCAGGACTCTGGGGAACCTGTTTATGATTATGGAAGAAGTATTCGTCTGCTCAGAAGAGCAGAGTTGCATGAGGAATTTCTGATTAACCTTGACAGTTAATTCCATTTGGTCCCCTGAGATCTGTACTTAATGACGATTTAATTTTATAGTTCTTAGATTAAAAAAAATTTGCACTTGTAAACTGACATGAATACTGAAAATATGTTACTTTTGCTATCACTATATTTATCAATAATTATAATAACAGTGTGAGGAGAACTGAGCATTTCCTGAGTCTCGCGTATTTCTGACAACCTACACCTGAGAAGGAGGATGTGATGATTAAGTGTTTTTACCTTTAAAAAAACCCTTGATCCATTAATCTCAGATTAAAAGTCTAACAATAACCTCTGTATTCTCTAGGTTAAATTACAATGACTGGGTTAAGCAGTATGAAACGCTAGCAGAGATGGTTGTTCCACGTTCCAGCAAGTAAGTTGTTGAATGCTAAATCTCATATTTGCTTGTGCTGTGTTTCAGGAGCGTTTTTTTTCTAGAAAGACTTTGAATTTTAAAGATTGGTCAAAAACTTGTCAATATGTGTAGCTTTATAGCTTTATCTGGTCAAATCTGATCAAATACTCAAGGAAAGATTCAAATGAACAAAGTTATCCAGCTTAACTTATTGGAGAAGAGTAAGAGAATTGAAAAGTTAATCTAATTCTGGTCAGATATATTCAGCTTCTAGCTGGAATGTGGTGGAGATAAGCAACAAATGCTGGCTGTTGGCCTGTAAGCTTTAGGTCTGTATTCACAGGACTTGAAACAAGTTGTGTGAATTCTTTGGAGACTTCCAAAGAATGGAGGTCTGGAAGTGTAAATGGTTTTGTTGTGTACAAAGAAAGGTAGCTTGTCTCTTTGGGTGCTTGGTATCGAGCTGGTGCCAGGTGCTGTGGTGGGCAAGATTAAACCACTTTAACAACCTTGTAACCACATTAAAGATAAAGTCCACATGTAGCACAAAGCATCGATTTGTGGTTAATTTTAACTGACAGACTGAGGTTTTCATCAGGCAAATGCAATATTACCAGTTCTGTGCATGTTAAAAAACCTGAACTTCCTTTGGATAACTTCACATCTGGAAGACTTGCTAGTGGCTCTTACTTAATTATTGGGAAACCACAGCCTAGGACTAGCCTAAGAAAAGTCAACTTGTTAAACTATTGGATAATACATGTGTTGAAGACAGTATGATCTTGAGGAACAGTCTAAGTCTGTTAAAGCTTTTTTTTTTCCTAAGGTAAAGCCTCAAAATACGCAATATTATTTTTAATTATAAAATAGTAAATCGAGGGGTCATCTTTACAGCCTAAGAAACATTTTCTTTTGCCAACCTGTGTCTTTTAATTTGTGTACTTTTCTATTTTATATCTTTTCAATTTTTCTTTAAAACACACATTTCTAATAAATCTGTAGTCCAAACATTTCAGTACTAAACCAGCATCAGCTGCTTTTTTTGTTAATTAATTTTTATTTGAACAAATATCATATGAACTTAATGTGAACTGTAAGCTGCCTTCATTTATGAAGGGAGTAATTGAGCAGTCAGTTACATTCTGTATGAGGTGCTTAATTTGGGAACTAAATCTTGTATAATTATCTACATTTATGTCTTGCCTTGTAGCAATAAAGTACAGCATGTGGTACTCTGTGACTGGTCTGTGCTGACTTGAACTTGATTAATTCTGACACTTGGTTTGTTTTCTTTCTGTGTAGTGTACTCTTTGAGGACCAAGACAGCTACCTTTGTAATGTCACCTTGTTCAGGAAGGCAGTGGATGACTTCAAGCACAAAGCCAGAGAATATAAGTAAGGTTTATTCTGTGTACATTCTGTCTCTCATGCTTTGAAGGATCTGTAGATAGGCACTTCTGTTTTTATTCACTTCCAAATGCAGATTTATGGTCCGTGACTTCCAGTACAATGAAGAAGAGATGAAAGCCGATAAAGAAGAAATGAATAGACTGTCAACTGACAAGAAGAAACAGTTTGTAAGTCTTAATAAACTGGTCATTATAGAAATGTGAGACATCTAAGACTTATTATTGCTGCATAAAAATTTCATGAAGTTGTGATTCAGAGTATTGTAAGGATGACATGATGTAGTCGGCCTGCACCCAGCTAATGTGCTCTGGGATAATTGAATTTCCTGCTGCACAAGTGCTCCTCACTGCATTGAACCAAGGGCTGGTATTGCAGCTGATAATGTTTGAAGTTTGAAAATGGACAAGTGTTTGAATTACATAATCAGATATTACTAAAATGATCTTTAATATAGTTAGATCATGACAACTGAGATGGGGAACTGAAGAGACAATGGGAAGTCTCATTAAATGTCTCTTTACTTTGTATCAAAACACTCTTGAACCATTATGCCCGTGGTGAACTCTGTCTTTAACTTGTCTTTTATTATCATGGTACAGATATTGAGTAGCTGCTCAAACATGCAAAATGGGCTGAGTATTTTTCTGATGTTTGAATAGCTGCTTCTTTTTCTTTCCTTTTTCACAGGGGCCTCTGGTTCGGTGGCTGAAAGTCAATTTCAGTGAAGCTTTCATTGCATGGATTCATGTGAAAGCATTACGTGTTTTTGTTGAATCTGTTTTAAGGTAATGAGGCAGATTTCAATATTGATTTTCTTCCTAGACCTGGTAAGAATCTACATCTAGCTTGGGTTTACCAAACTGAAGTATGCAAATGCTGCTCTTCTGGGAAGGAGGAAGCAAAAAATAGGGCAGTAAGAATAGCTGAAGGCAATAGCTCTTGTTGCCAGTTGTGAAATATTTGAGGTAGATAATTGTGTATCTTCCCCTTGGATAGTCTTTTCATTATTGCTTTAGGAGTTAAAGACACTCTGTGCATAGCAGTGAGACATATTTGCTGATTTTTAGGTTACTTTATGAGTTGCTTGTAACAAGAACTAACTACATCCTATATTTAAACGGCAATTTTGAATAGTTCAGAATAAAAACTGTTTGAGATTTCAGTAACAATTTGGCATCATGAAATGGGATTCTTTTACTTTAAGACATGCCTTTTGTAGTCTAAACTTTTCAGTATTAAATCACTTAATATTCTAACTAGAAAATTTAACTGCTTTTTTTTCTTCATACTACCCACAAGTGTTGTTACTAGTCGAGAACAGCTGTAGTTCTGTACTGAAAAGGAGGGACCTTTATTTTTTATAGTTGAAAACATTCCTACTGTGGTCAGCAAAGGGCAAGATGTTTTTAGCTTTTTTGATAAGTTGTCATAATGGAGAAAAACAGAAGAGAAAAAGAAAACAAATCACATGAACTTGCATTCATGCTGCTATGGCCTTATTGTGAAGACAAAACTTGAGTAAAGAAAGCTGAACTTAATTGGAATGTTGTCAGCTGTTTCCACATTCATAGAAAGGAGGATTAAGTAGAAACTACATTGTCCACCAAGTGTCATAAGCAAAGGGAACTAATGGAGTATTCAAAATTTAGTCTTGAGTGTTCAGGTAACATTGAGAATTATGCTAAATACTCAAGGATTTAAAATTATTTTAAAAATATTTAGGCTTATGTTTTGTTACTTTAAATTTGAAGTTCTACTTCTTTGCCTTAGAATTGTTGACACAGAATGGTTTTGCAAAAATGGAAATGAGAAAATTTCCTCTTCAGCTATAGGATCCTTTCTCAAAATAGAATTCTGCTTGAATTATGAAAGAAGGTTTATTTCAGCATATCCATAGTTTTCTACTTCACTTCCTCAGGTATGGTTTGCCAGTTAACTTCCAGGCAATGCTGCTTCAGCCTAATAAGAAAACAATGAAGAAACTGAGGGAAGTTCTGTATGACTTATACAAACATCTTGACAGCAGTGCAGCAGCTATCATTGATGTAAGTACTTTTTAACTGCTACTAGTATGTTTAAACAAAGCAAAAAGTGTATTGGCATCATTAAAAAGCTATACCTCTCCATATTCTTCATTTTCTCACAGTACTGAGAATTTTTTCTTCTTAAAAAAATGCTGCTTCTGTTTTACACTTTAGCAAGGCAGATGGTATTATATATTTGAAGAGGTGTCTGGTTTAGAAGTATTTCTTCTTCTACATTCTTTCCTATGACTGATGGAAAGATACAGACTGCAAGTTAGTATAGCAGTCCTCTGCTGAAGAGGGCTGAATCATTGTCAAAATTGAATCAGTCTTTCCATATGTAGAGGTCTCATTTTCATGTGTAAAAGTGGTTTGTTAGGAGGAATATTCTACTAATTTGCTTTGTATTGAAAAGCATTGATTTTAATAGTTATTGGTTAACTAAAGATACCATGAGTTTAGCTGAATTAAAAAAGATTTTTAATATTGTATTGAATGTAATGTATTTCCAGGCCGTTTTGTGGAAAGAGGATTTGAGACAATTTAGATGAAAATTAAAGATGCTGAACTTAAATAACTTCCTGGATCATTCAGCACCCTATAACATTCTTATCAGAAACTGACAGTGTTTAGATGTTGTAGTGATGATGTGTTTACTAGCAGTGGATGTCATTTATCGATACAGAACTACTTAGATTTGAAAAAGCACTTTGTATTTACTTTTGAAAAATACTATTAGTTATTTGTCAAATGACTGTTATTCAAACAATCACTTGAATGTGAAAATTTAAGCTTGAAGTCTTACCTGGCCTATTTGCTTCTAAAACACATGAATATTTCATCTACTTCTTAATAGGAGTCAGAATGGTAAGAGTATAACTGGTTTCAAACCTTTATTTGCAGGCAACTATGGATATTCCAGGTTTAAACCTCAGCCAACAGGAGTACTACCCATATGTGTACTACAAGATCGATTGTAATTTGCTGGAATTCAAGTAAAAGTTCCCTAACATGACAATCTTCTCGGTGTTGGTGTAAACAAACAGAAGTGAGGTTGAAGTATAGTAATACTTTAAACATTCTACTAATCATATGCTTGCTTCTTATGTTAGGTGACTTGAACACACCGTGGTCCATCTCTAGACATTTTCTTTTTAAAGAACAGTGTAGGTAACCAGCTTTTAATCGACTATGTCTGTAAATGTATATTGAGAGAATTTAAGTATTTATAAACAGAGTGATTTATTTAAGGAAAAGCTTATCCCTCTTTCATATGGTGGTCTGTGTTAATTCCATTTACTGTTGTTTATAAAAAAACTTGTTTACAGACTAGTGTAAATGTTCATGGCCATTTTGTTCATTTGATTTAGTAGATACAACTGTGTTAACATTGTTGAACTGTGATGTAAAGTATGTAAAATTGGTATGAAATTGTGCTTTCTGAATGGTTTAAAATTACAATTGATGCACTGTAAACACAGGGAAAATAAACATACCTGTGCAAATGTGTCACTTTCTTGTACCACATAAAATTGTAGATACTTGTGTCTAAACTGAAGCAATGTGTTAAGTCTTTAATAGTGCTGCAGCCTGCACACACTGTCACAGAAATGCAATTGGCTTCAGCACAAGTACTTTTAAGAGATGCAGGATTTAATTTTGCTTTGTGCAGAAAGGCTCAAGCGTGTTGTTTGGCCATCACACATATGTACGAATGTTTTTCATGTTTATATCTTTGTGACTAAAGAAAAGATGTGAGACAATTATTGGGAAGATGATGGCAAGCTGGGATAATAACAAGCTAGGCTGAGCTGGGGTTTTGATAATTCTTTGTTCTTTTCAGTCAGTTGAAGCTCGAGACTATTTTATGGCTTTGAATACTGTGTTATTAAATGCTCTTTTTTTTTTTTTTTTTTTTTTTGCGACATCTGTTCTACCACAGAGGGAATATGATAGCTTTCTTTTAATGTGTATAGAGAGGAGTTGTTTATTTCAGTAGCAGCTATTACAAGTATTCTACCTGAGTAGCTAAATATGCAGTAAAAGCTGCAGTACTGTTTAAAACTGACTTGAATTAAGAGGGAGACTGGAGGGGTGCTGATTTGTCAAAATTAATATTTGAAGTACTGTCACCACTGTATTCTTTCCTCATTTAGTCCCTAACTGAAAATACCAGTGCTGTGGCTCCAAGCAGTGTAGAGCTTTCAGCTGTAGGATCTCTAATCATAACCCAGCAGCACCCTTGAGGAATTGGCTAACTTTGTAAGCCTACATTGAGATCTCTAGTTTTTAAAAGGGAAGTCTAGCTTTTAAGTGCAAGAGTTGCATCTGTCTACTGATTTTGATGGGGTTTGACATCTATGAAAATACTTGCTGTGTAAATTTATATTTGCTTTTCTTCCTATTTTTATGGACAAAAAGAGAAATAGTGAGATCAGGTGTCCTGTTGTGGTCACATTTCTGCTTCTCCCACTTCTTTCCTTACAGAAAATAACAGCTGTTTACTGTGTTGTCCAGGTTGTTAAAGTGTGCCCAAGTGGAAGAGGTTATCCCTTTCATCACCCAGTTCTTCCACTAGCTTTTGTTACTGCTGCACACAAAGGTCATCATCTTGGTTCTGAGCCCACTATAACATGTACACTGCTTAAAGGTAAAGAGGATGTTTTTGTCCTGCCCCTCTAATCACAGGAGGAATCAGGCTAAACTGTCATCTCTCTTCTTCACCTTAGTTCTCTTTTGATTTTGTTTTCAAAGACATTCTTCAGACAAGTGTGGGTAAGGGCTTAGGTTTCCAGTAAGTACTGTATGAAAAATGCTTTGCTGTGTATTTGACCCTGTTCAATATACTGGTGCCAGTTCAGTCAGCCTTAGATCCTTCTGAAATGAATGGAAGCAAAGGACAGGTGGACAATAGAATGACACCACCATCCAAAGTGAGGGAAGCAGTTAATGTGCTGAGAAACAGAGAGATGTGGAAGTGCTGGGAAAATGGGCTGCATGGACTGCATGGACTTCAGCAAAGAAGAGTTGTCAAGTCCAGTTCTGGGGGATTTTGAGTTAGTCTTACACCCCAGTATGGGCTGGGCATGGACTAGCCAGGAAGCAACACTGTGGAGAAGAAGCTGGGATTGCTCATGGGAAACCAGTTGTGATTGTGGCCAGCCATCTCCTGGGATGGCTGTTAGCAAGAGGGTAGCCATCCTTCCCCAGTATTTGGCACTTGTGAAGTCATTTCTGGGCTGTATAATGCAAGAAAATGGAGTAAGTCCAGTGGAAGCTACCCAAGCTTGTCAGGGCAGTGGAGCACGTGACACTGACTGGGAGAATTGTGTCTCTCAGTGCTGGGGAAGAGATGGGAAAGGCAAAGAGCAGATTTTACTGATATTTCCAACTGCCTGAACAGAGGATACAGAGAGGATGGAGCCTTCTGATGTGCCTGAGCACTTGTCAGAGGTACATGGCAATAAGGAGAGGCAAAGGATGCAAGTTTGAATGTGGGAAATTCTCACTGAAGGCTGTGGTGGGTTGACCTTGGCTGCTGACCCACCAGCTGCTCTCTCACTACTCCTGATGGGACGAGGAGAAAACAAGGTGATAAAGCTCCTGAGTTGAGATTGCTTACCACTTACTGTCACAGGCTAGACTTGGGGAAGATGGGAAAGTTGGAGTTACAGAAGTTTATTGCCAATTCAAGATTTGGTTTATGAGAAGCAGACAAAAAGTGAAACACCATATCCCTTTTTTTTTTTCCTGAGGCTCAGCCTAACTCCTTTGCTCCTAACCTCTGTCCTTCTGTCCAGCAGCTTAGAGGGATGGGGAATAGATGTTATGATCGTATGTTCATAATAGTTCCTCTCTGCTTTACCTTCCTCCTCACATGTTTCCCCTGCCTCCAGCATGGCTCTTTCCACAGGCTGCAGTCCTTCAGAGTAAACCTAGTCTAGCACAGATCCTCAGTGAATCACATTTCCTTCAGGGCTTGCGCACCTGGTCTGATTTGGGGCTTCCAAAGGCTACAGTGTGGCTATGTGCTGTGGCACTGACCTCTAACTAATTAGGCTTCAGGACAGCTCCTGCTTCACTGTGGTCCCCTCTGTGGGCTACAGGGAAATAAATACCTGCAGTGCATTTGGTTTCAATGATGTATCCAGTCTGGCATTGCCTGTGGCTGACTCAAAATTGCTGTTTAAAGAAGGGAAATTTGCAAAGTATTAAGTATCAGTAACCAGCCTGGAATAGCTGGTGTCTGGATATTGTTGGGCCTTCCTCGTGGTGAAGAGAGATTCTTTGGATACAGGAGCTGGGAGTCAGGTTGTGTTAGATTTGATTTATAGGGGAAAGCTATGACCAAACCCACATGATTTTACAGTTTATTATATTTCTGTGGTTCTTCAGAGATTTCTGGCAAATGAAAAAAGGTTAAAAACAGTGTAGAAATGGAAATTTTTCATTTTGTTTCCAAGAAGTATGCCAAGTAATTAGGTTAGAGAGTAATTTGTGGAAGAAATTAAAAACTTAGTATACTCTGGAATGTGAGGAGTATGGGAATTTTATTTTTCTTATAATTAAGTAGCGATAGATGATTTATGTCTTAATAGGAAAAGCAGACATAACTGAATGGTCACATGTCTGTAATCAAAGTCTGAGAAGGGGAGACAGCTGCTGCAAAGCAGAAGAAGCTAAAATAGCAATGTACTAGTCTTTTTGTAAATTTAACATAGATCTTGAAATGCTGATGGATGCCTTTGAAAGCTGGCAAATAAAAGTTAGTAATGAAACTGTGTGAGAAAGCAATACCTTCAGTGACTTCCAGGATCACCAGGACTGGGAAGAAGAATGAACAGAGAACTGGGGAGCTTGTAGAAGGGGAAGTTAAGCAGACCTAGTAACTCATTACTGAACAGGAAGGGGAGTGGGGGAGCATCACCATGGCTGAGGTCAGAGCAGGAGAGGATTTCAGTGAACTTTAAGGAAAATGAACCACCACAAACTTGTTGGAAGAAAACAAACATCACTCGATCTTGAAGAAGGGCAAGAAGAGGATCTGGGGAACTACTTACTGTCCTGGCAGCCTGACCTTGATCTCTGGGTAGGATGAAGGAGCAAACTGTGCCAAGGACAGGAACGTGATTAAGGGTTGTCAGCCTGGATTTGTGCCTTACTGACCTGATGGACTTATGCAGTGAGATGATTGGATCAATGGATGAGAGCAGAGCAGTAGATGTTTGCTTATCTTGGCCTCAGTGAGGTCCTTGATGCTGTCTCCTGTAGCATCATTGGCAAACTGATGGAGTACAGGCTAGGTAAATGCATGCTGAGGTGGACTGGAAAGTAGGTGAATTTATGGGGCCAAACACTTGTAATCAGTGAGACAAAGTCCATGAAGAAGCCACTAGTTACTACTGGTAACTAGTACTAATTACTAGTACTAGAACTACAGGGTTCAATACTGGGGCCAGTATTTTTAAACATTTTTATTTATTACTTGGATGATAGGACAGTGCACCTTCAAGTTTGCTGATGACACAAAACTGGGAGGAGAGGGTCATATGCCAAATGGTCCTTGTTCAGAGGCCCTCAATACACTGCAGAAGTAGGAACATGGGAACTTTATGAAGTTTAACGGAGAGAAATGTCAAGACCCACATCTGGGGAAGAATACCAGATTGGCCACATACCAGTACAAACTGGTGGCCAACTGGCTGTGAAGCATTTTTGCAGAAAAAGGACTCAGGACTCCATTTGGAAAAGTTGAGCATGAGGCAGCAATGTGCCCTTGTAGTGGGGAAGGCCAACAGCTCACTTTAGGAAGAGCACTGCCAATGGGTTGAGGAGGGTGAATTGTCCCTTCACCTCAGCACTGAGGACACACACCACAGCTTGGCAGTGTTTGAGATTGGCAGCCACCACTGAAGGTCATCATCTAGTCCTCCTTCTTCAAGTGAGGTCAGGAAGAACAGATTGCTCAGGACTGTGTCCAGTTAGGGGTTGAAAAGCTCCACAGCACTCTCTGTGCAATCTTCCAGGTGTTCAAACCACCAGGTAGTAAAACTGTTCTATTTGGACAGGACAAGATGTGTCTCTGTTTGGGCACCACTGAGAAGTCAGGCTCCCTCTTTACACCCTCCTGTCAGTATGAATAAACATGGATAAGGTGCTCTTGAGACTAATTATTTTATTGAGCAGAGGGTAGTGAGAGCCTCTGCAGTGTTCAAGCACTTTTTTTCTGGAGCTATTTTTGTTCTAAGGAATATAGGTCTTGGATATGGCAATGCATGGTGATGAACAGATGTGGAATCTTTGTTTTGGTTTCTTTTTTAATATATAATATTCTGAAATGCTTAGCATTTAAACTTCTATATTAATGTAATTTTCATTAAGATACTGATGATTTTGAAAGCTTTTTGAAAGAGAAATGTATCTATGATGTGCTGAACTATTACTTAGGCAGTGTCTGATTTCTGAGCAGAAGTGTTTAGAAAGTAACTTCTTCCCAGATATCTTTGTACTTC